TGATATGTAGGCATTTCACAAAGTATAACTACTACAAATAATACTTCGTTTATTCTAGATTTTATCTTAAATGAATTTTATCAAATTACACTGATACTTGAAAACAGGATGTGGAGAAGCTTTGAGATAGCTTCTTTGCCACTATGCCAAAATATTTTAACATTTTTGAAGAGTTTTAATCGCGTGGATAGTGTGTTAAATAAAATAATTTAAATGCACTTTATATTAGATTCCTTTGTGTGTATTCATATATATTTGATGGATTAAGCTCTATGTTCCCCAACATTTATACCCCAACTTGTACCTTGCAGGTTTGCACCAACATTTTGTGTTGGTGTAAAACTAATTTTTGTTAACGCACCAACACTTTGTGTCCGTGCAATTTTTTGTTAACACACCAATACTTGTGTCGGTGTAAACTATAAGAATGTGCATAACTATGATGTACAAATAGTGTACATATTTTGGTGTAAATGTAGCATGGTCCATATTTGATACATTTCAAAATTATTGTGTAGTTTGACTTCTTTTGATTATTTTGACTACAAATAAAATACAAGGTAAAATTTTGTACTCAATAAAATGTAATATTCCACAGTATGGAGTTTACTTTTAAAATACTTTTGATTTACGAAGTATAAAGTTGTAAATTATTTTTTAAACTTAATTCATTGTATAAATATGTAATGTTAAAATTTACTACATCGTCCTAGTGTATTTATCTAGTTTGATTTTTTCGAATCAAAGTGAATAAACTTTGAGCTCTAATTACTCTTAATTTGTATTGAATTGAATATAATAAAATAAAATTATGAAAGTCCTCAATACAATAAATTTAATAAAATTATTTTTATGTCAAAATGCAAGAGGGAGTAATAAAAGTCAGCAAGAAATTCTTAGTAGCAATACACCGGGCCCAACTTATCAGGCTTCAACTGGACTCGGCCCAACAGTTCTTCGTTAACCCTAAATATACATATTCCCATATAACGCTAAACCCTAACCATTCTCCTCCATTCGACAACCGGCGTTCTTCCACTCCCACTCAGTCCCAGGTAAATCTCCATCTCCATTCTAAGCTTTCCTGTAGATCCTGATGCGCATGAAACCGAAACCTGGAGATCGAGTTTTGAAATCCAGTTTTGAGTTTTGTTTTAATGTCATAATTCACTACAGAAGTAAGAAGCACTTTGATGCCTTATCTTGCTTTTCTTTTATGTGAGTTTAATGAAATTTCTCTCGAATCTGTGATCAGGCAAGCGGAAGAGTCTTGAGATTTAACAATTACCGACGAAAATGTCTGGGTACGTTTTTCTTATTTACGTTCGATGTTTATGTTAGAATTGTAGAAGGCTTGCTTGTCTGTTGTCTATATAGTTGCACGAAGAAAAGAATGCAGTTAGATTTCTATGTCAAGTGGGTTTGTTCTTACCATTTCTATTTTGACTCATGTTTTAGTTGTAGTGGTTTCTACTTCTCACCATAGCCCCCTCTCCCTGACGGGTAGGGGAAGGGAGGAGGCAAGGTGTCCAATGGTGCACAGTAGGGAACTCAAACATCAATGCTTAGATGAATTGTGTGAATAGATCCATGCTCATATATCATAATATTGAGAAACAGTATTTCCTTTGCTTCATAAAAGGAACCATATTTTAATTTGGTAAATGTCTATTGGAATTCAACTGCTATGACTTAAACTTCTTGGAGATACTTTTTAGGCAAGCAGTCTTTAGATTGATGTTTTGGAGTTTGAAGCACATAGAAAGCTGTTAAGCTGTAGTGGTTGAATATATTGTGTTATGCTTTTTCTAATGTTAAATAAAAATAATTTCAGAGAGGAAGGAGGTCCAGTTGCAGTCCAAGAGGCCACGGCTGCAGCTCCTATTGGGGAGCCGATGGACCTTATGACTGCACTGCGCTTGGTTCTGAAGAAGTCCAAGGCCCATGGGGGTCTTCTTCGTGGGATTCGTCAAAGTTCTAAGGCAATCACAAAGAATAAGGCCCAACTTTGTGTCTTGGCAGAGGACTGTGATCAACCAGATTATGTCAAGCTGGTGAAAGCACTCTGCGCTGATAACAGTGTGAAGTTGATTACAGTTCCTAGTGCTAAAACTCTCGGGGAGTGGTGTGGTGTAAGTAGTTTTGGTTCTAAAGCAATTACAATACAGTTGGACAAAATTTATCCCATTAGTTATTGGGCTTTTTGTCCTGAAAACATTGTTTGCAGGGGAAGTTTTGTTCACCCCCTATTCATTTCTTTCCAAATGAAAATTTGCTCAGATAATACATTTAATTCAATTCGTACTTCTTTTTTTTCAGTTGTGCAAGATTGATTCCGAGGGAAAGGCACGGAAGGTGGTTGGTGCATCGTGTGTTGTTGTGGAGGTATGAATCACATGAATGTTTTTTTAGAGTATCTCGTGTGGTGTATATTTAAACATCAAACTAGGAGGGTGTTTAGGGCGGATTTTCAAAGTTTTTTGCAGCTTTTGCTCTGAATAGAAGCAGTGGGAAAGTTAGAATTTCTGATTTCAAAACTATGTTATAAAAATTACCACTTTAGAAACAAACACCTTCTATATAACAGCCCTATCCTTTTACGTTGCATTTCCTCAATTTAAAACTAAAATTCTCCTTTGTTTTTGCATTATTGGTGTCTGATGATAAAATTCTCTTTTTCTTTTAAGCAATGTTTTTGTGTTTGATATTCAATTGTCTCATTTCTATATTAATCTCAATTTCCCCCTCTAAAGTGCTGCAAATAAGTGGTTTGTATTGGAACAATGGAGCCGTTTGTATCTGTCCTTCTACTCATAGGTTCTACGTGCTCCTTGTCTCGGTGCTTGTCCTTTGTTTGTTCTATTATCATGTTTACTTGTCCTAAGTTTATGTTTAGCCATGTCTTTTGGAAACCTTCTAGTAGGGCACCCCTTTCTAGATCCTACTGTTTGGGATATTAATGGGTTTGTTTGTTTCTCATCTTAGGTCATAACAAATGATTTTCCAAGATATAACCAAATCAAAAGAGATTGTGACAGTTACTCATTGTGTTGATTTTTTTTGCAGGATTACGGTGTGGAACACGAGGGCCTTGACATTATCAAGAATCTGGAGAAGACCCTTTAGATAAATATTTTGCATTTTGGAGTGAAATATGAAGTTCTGTGAGACATTGTTTTGAACTTTGGTTCTTTTTTTTAAAACTTATTTGTAGCTTACTTTCCATGATATCTTGAGAAACTGAGGATTTCCTTTTAGACTATCATCTGCTTGGTTTTCAGAGTTAGCGAAATCCAATTCCCGTTTTCATTTCGTCCGTAGTTCATCTGCTTGATTCATTTCGTTTGCAATTTTGGTTCCAGTTTCTATCCATCTGCCGGTGGCCGGTAGAACACTTGTTAGATTGAACTCTTCTTGTGATACATTGATATCAGAGGCACGGAATTTTATACTCCATCTATTAATAAAACATTCTAGGTACAACACATAGAGAAGTAACCAAATGTTTATAGTGGTGTGATCCTTTTGCTCCTTTCTTATATTGGAGAGAAGTGTCTTTAACTTTGGGGCATATCCATCAAGTATATGAATTGAAAAAGAATTCTTATATTCTATTGATCTACCATAAAATAATTTGGACAAATTATGTTAAATAATTTTATATTTTTTTAACGTGTTTTTAAAATAATCTTACCCGGAGTACCTTTTATTGTTACTAAAAACAATCTTACATTTTGGCATGTGTGTGAGTTTTGGAATGCAGTTGCATAGATAGTGGACAATTAACACAAGTTTTGGGAAATGTTTATTTTTTACAAATAAATTTACTTTTTTGTTCTTTTTAATTTTAAAAAAATGGGTTTTATTAATATAATTAGTACTCTTATTAGAGATTTTTCTTGATTTTTTTTAAAAAATATAGTCCTGTTTTAAATCGTCTATTTTGACTTTGGGTCATATTTAAAGAAAAGAAAAATAGAGATGATTTTTCAAAATTGTCATTACTTTTTAAGAGTGGTGACGATGAATGAGAATATTAGTTGAAGAAGAGTGACATATTTTAGAGGTAATTTAGTTATTTTATTTTTAAAACTTTACGATAACAAGAAACAAACAACTTATTTTGGGACAGAGAAAAAAGGAAAATAGAGAATTTAAAATGGGATAGAGGGAGTAAATAATTTAAAATTCTTGTTTTATGTTTTGGGGAAAATGTAATTTTAGATTATTGAAAAAAAATTTGGGTATTGCTTGAGAAAGAAATTGTAATACAAAAAATGTAGTGAGCCATAAAATTAGTATCATTTGGGAGAAAATATGGTCTTATTTTCACAACTTTTGAATTATTAATATTTTGGAAAAAAAATTTGTACTGAATCATTAAAAAATAAGTTTGGCAATTCCATTTTAGAAAAAACAAATAGAAGATTATCAATAAGTATTTTGGAGTGTTTATGAAAAAAATTGCAATACAACAGAAATAGTAAGCTACAAAAATAAAAGTTCCATTTAAAAAATATGTTCTTTTGATATATATATATATATATATATATATATATATATATATATATATATATATATATAGAATTATCGAGAACGATTATTTGAAGAGTCGCTTAAGAAAAATAGTTGACACTTACAAAAAATGTATTGAGTTATTAAGTATATAAATTAGCTCCATTGTATTGAAGATAAGGTGAAAAAGAGGAACTTATTTTAAGGGTAGTTTATGTATTTTATTTTTAAAAGTTTATAAAAACAATTAACATGCAACTTATTTTGGGACGGAGAAAAAAGGCAAACAGACAATTTAAAATGGGACGGAGAGAGTAAAAAATAACTCCAGACACCTATGGTACTATATTGTTAAAATTAATGATTTCTCTAGTAGTGAATATGAGAATTAAGAACTTTTGTTGGGGGCACGATAGGAGGAGGGTTCGAGGGTATCGTCTCAGATATTTTTTTATAGAATGTGAAATAAAAAATTAATGAATTTGATCTAAAACAAGTATTCATTACATCGCACCCCTAATGTACAATGTCAATACATTCATTTCAAAACCTAATATTTAAGCTATGTGTAAAAGCCATAACGCACATTACATCGCGTCCTGGAAAATATGAACCGAAAAACATCCTCTCCCATTTTCTCTTTCTTTACTTTTCTCAAAACCAAATCTTGCAAATAAATAAAACAACTCTCTGTTTGTTAACAAATCCTGCACACACACACACACACACCCTGCATGTGGGTGTGTGTGTTCCAGCATTATGGGAATAAGGGGAAAACAAAAACACAAACTTGAACCAATAATGGCTTCCAGTATTGTACCTGAATAACATCCTCAGCTGCCTTCACATCATGGTACCTTAGAGCAGTAAAACAAATATGCACTTCTTTTAGAGAAATGGGTTTCAAGTAAATGGTTACCGGAAATGATTCCCATAAAAGCCCAAGATTTGCACCGTCTTTGCCAATGATATGGTCAATATGCGACACTGCAATGCGCGATGAGTCTACAGTCTGCAAAACAATTGAAGGCGCATTTAATCTACTATACAATGAAATGCGTGATGCGTCCCGCGATATTCGTCCACTCTCCTTTCAGGCAAATAAAATGAAACAAAATGTCCATTGTGCCCTTCATCACTACTCTCTCTTTTGCTTATATTCCCAAACATACCATAAATTCATTGATAATACCCCAATCACATGGATGGGAGGCGCGCCCATTTCATACTTTCACTTTTGAAATAGGTGTGTGCTGGGCAGCAGCTAGAAGACGGCAAACTCTCTAGGTGGCAAGGTAGTGCGCCATGCGGGTTGCTGATGGATGGAGCTAAGGACTTTGGGTGAAGGGCAATTGTGTCTTTTAATCCATTACGTTGGTTTTTGGTCCAAAATGAAAGTTGACGAATAGTGCGGAACGGAGGGAGTAATAAACTAAATAGAGACGGGACGAACTAAAAAAAATTCTACAGGAAGTGAGGGGGCACTGACCTCATGCTTTCTCTCAGCTCGAGGCCCATTATATACAATTCTGGATGTGCATATTTCGTAAGGGGATGGACGAATGCCATTCTGTGCAATATCCATGTGAATGAGCATAAGCAAGAGAAGGTAATTAATCCATTATATAGAATTTTGCATTCAATAATCTTACCCCGGCTTTATACTCCGACAACTTCTGCTCATCAACTGCAAACTCTCCTAGATAAAAAAGCATTGACTGAACAGCCTCACGCACACCCCTGCGCTCCCCTTCCGCATCAAAAATCACATCACCAGGCGAAAAAACTGACAAGTTATCTATATAGAGTATCCCAACCATTAATAAGATAATCGATAATCAATACAACGACTAGTTGCAAAGCTAATAATAATAACATACGAAAAGAGACCGTCCCACACTAGCTTATTACACACCTGCTAGATAGATAGAAAGTGTGCATGGATAGGCCTTCAAAGTGTGGAAAACAAAAAACTTTTTTGCATGTGCAGCCGGTACAAGCAGTCTTGTTAAGCACTGCTCCTCAGAATTCAGGGTGTGCAAAAAATACTGGTGAACCTCATCAAAAACATTAATAGCATGAGCGGTGGAGTGTCTAGAGTCCCTTTTCGCGGATACCATAACCTGTGAAGTAGACAAACAATTTTAGATGCTATCACACACAAGCGGAACACCAATAAGAAAAATGTTCATTCTATTTTCTCTAGTAACAATTAATGTCCATGATACCAGCATTCAAAAATAAATAGTTTATACAAATCCATGATCATATGTTGGGATTGTCTGTGTGACATTATCGCTTGAAGCATTGATGCATTCATAATCAAAGTTTGACTAAGAACATAGGGCTTGGCAGGACATCAGAGACCGCCAGGCAAGGTTTAGTGTTCAAGGGACAACACCACTAACAAAGTCAAGAGTGAACTCGTTCACGCTGAACTTAGTAATTTGCAAAGATTTAAAATAGGCAGCATAATCAGAGAGACCAATCATAAAAGACTATCATTCTCAATCTCTAACCCCGCCTCGCCTTGCTCCCAATCTAGTACCCAACCATAAACAATTCAATAAGACAATCATGAGCTTTACTTACAACTCCGACACCAGCCACAAAAAAAAACATCATTTGAAGCTGTCAATTGTATAGAATATACAAGCAACCCACAAGATGTGTGCGTGTAAATGCATACACAAAAACGTGCAAGGTTTGTTAAACTTTTAGTGCGTATAGAAGTGTGAGTAAGGCATGTTGAAAATGCATACCCTGTGCTGCCACATTCAGCTCACGGAGTACTTTTCTCTTTTTTGAAGATGAACCAATTGTATAATCCAAACCCAGCTGTTGGGACAATTTTCTTTTTTCAGAGCCAACCCGGAGCAAATGTCTTTGCTCGGGGGGTAGGTCCAGGGACAAGCTTCCCTGCAATAAGTTACAAAGTTACAAACAGAGAATGACAACGTATAAGATGTAATGCCATAACTTACATATAGAGAAGAATGTGGCTGTGGAGGTCTAGAATAAACATAAACCCTCCAGCAATGAAACCACTGATAGTTGGAATAAAATATAATCTAATCTAAGTATATACAAAACAAAAAGAATTCAGTAAAAATTTCCCTATTTAGAGCCCACCTGGAACAAATGTCTTTGCTCGGAGGATAGATCCAGGGACAAACTTCCCTACAATAAGAGAATGACAACAGATATAATGCCGTGCAATAACTCACATATAGAGAAGGATGTGGTTGTGGAAGTCTTGAATAAACATAAACCTTTCCGCAATGAAACACTGATCGTTGGAACAAAATATAATGTAATCTAACTATATAAAAGGCAAAAGAAATTAGGAACAATGGGCTCAGAATGGTTGAGAAAAAGAGTATCCATAAAAAATCCAGTGTTACATCATATTCTACTCTACACTTAAATCAAACGATTGTCGAAAACATATGAAACAATTCATTGAGGAGCAACTTGAGCCCATGATGATGCTTCACAGTCAAACAAACCAAACAATCAAATGACAATGATTCTTAACGTGGCTGATAAGAGAAAGAAAGGAATGACAATTTACTCCTATACAATTTCGCCGATATGGGAAGCGGTCATACCTGGGATTTGCTTCGCCGATGCCCTTGTTCATAGCCACGATTTATAACCATCTTGATCGGCTGTAGTTGCGGTGTCTCCATATCTTCTTTCTCAGATTGGGGAATCCGCTTTCCAGACCAAACCAGACGACCTAAGGAGTGGCCGAGGGAGAGATGAAGAAGAGAACGATGAATGACAGAAGGAATAAATATGTGAAATACGGAGTACCGTAGTTTTTAAAATCTCTGGGTTTTGGGTTTTGGGTAAGATTTAGGAATGGATTTGTATTTATATCAAAGTCTAAAATTTATCGATTTTTTAATACCATTATACGGAGTATTTAGAAGACTTTTAAAATCTAAATTAAATACACCCGTTGAATAATTTTTTAAAATTTGAATTGAATGTCTACAGATTTTTAAAATAAAAAAAAATCTTTCAAAAATCTTGATTAAATACAACCCATTAGTTTTGGATTTAAATTTGAAATATTGATCTGATTTTACTTTTTTGTACTGATACATTTTTAACCATTCATCTTGAATTAAATAGAAATTATGGAGTATATGATATAAAGCACTTTTTTAGTGCATCTAAGGTCTACAAAATTTGGTTGACTTTCTCATATAAAAATTAGTTTTTTAATTTTTTTTTTGTAAAAAATAAAAGTGAAATTTGCACTAGATAAAACTAAAACTTATTTTCATTCCGAATGCAGTATTTAAATTTATTTATTTTCTAAATTACATTGAATAATGTCTAGTAGTGAGAAGAATATCTAATGATGGTGGAAAATTAATTTGAACAATGTCTAGTGGTGGTGGACATTTACTTGAACAATGACCAATATAAATTGAACATTGATACTATATTGTGAAATAAAAACATATGATACTACATGTTTATAGGTACACCATGGATCCACCCATGGACACCTTCGGTCCATGATAGAATTTGCCTATGACATACTCTCTACTGTCCAAAAAAAATTCCTATTTTGATTTTTTAGTCAAATATTAACTTTTTTACTACTCTCTCCGTCCAAAAAATGTTTTTCTCATTTGACTTTTTACGGTCTCCAATATTACACTTTGACCATTAATATCTATTTATATATAGATATATTCTATAAAAATTTGATATTTGAAAACTATGTTTCATTATAAATATATTCATATTAAATTTATATCTTAATACAATATGTTTTTTCCACAAATTATAGTCAAAGTTTACAAACTTTGACCAATAAAAGTCAAATGTTAAGAAAAGTCAAATGTGAAGAACATATCTAATAAAAATTAGATATATCAAAACTACTCCGTATATCGTAAGATGAACCCAATTATATTAAATTTATAATATATTTCAATATATTTTTCTATAATTTTTGGTCAAAGAGTGTCACTATTTGATTAAAAAAATTAAAATATGGAGATTTTTTTAGATCGAATTGAGTATTAATTAAAAGAAGAGCATGTTCTTGCATTCTTAACACTCATTTGGCTATGAATTGACTTTCTACCGATTATTGTGAGAATAAACTAATTTTTTTTCCTTTTTTAGCATGAGAATCAGCTATGTCAAACTTTCCTCCACATTCTACTCCTTTTTGCCTTGTGGAATCCATATGGTGGGGTGATTTGGGTTCCTTTTTTCCCGCAATTGCGCATTGTGGTATCCGCGGCCTTCAGGACGCGGTTACAAATACTTCATACTCCGCAATACGTACAAATTATTTGTCTAGATGATTTCATGACGGGTCATCGTATGATACCCTGATTTTAAGTATCATACTAACACATCTCTAAACTTGTAAGTTGATTTATTTTTTCTAAGATGTAATTAATTGCATTATTTCTTCTATTCTCATGTATAGCCAGAGAAGCAAACACCTCAAGAGTATCTGTGTTAACCAGAATGGAGAGCATACTATTTTTCTTGTTAGTTCACATATTATGTAATAACTTTATACAGGGTACATTTGGTATACGGAACTGACAAAATTTAAATTGAATTGAGTAGAAATTTTATGAAATTGATTTGGAAAGAATTGAATTTTCCAATTCCAATTCATTTTTGACACTATAAACTTCAAATCCACATATTTGTTGTGCTACCAAATAGCATAATTGGAATTCTTGTCGTGAATTCTAATTTTATAGTTTGAATTCCGAGTACCAAACGAAGCATTAGCGACATACTCTGTATTATTTACAGCATATGGTTACGTGTGGTAAATAATCAAGTTATGTTCACTTCCTTCACAGTTATAAGTGCGGTTAACAAAAAGAAGTAATTAGTCTTACCTTATACACACCTTAAAATTAACGTTTTTAAAGGAAACCAATCTCTAAAATGGGGAATGAGAAAACCCCTGAAAAAACCAATCTCTATATACATATATTCTCAGAGTTACATGAATAAACTAATGTATTATACAACAAAGACAGACCGGATCATTGAAGAAATGATAGCATCCTCCGCCGCGGTGATTCTTACAAACGTTGATGCAGTCAGTTTTTGTATGTACGTCATGGTATATTGGTAATTTGGTGCTGCACGGAAGATTAATACGGAGTATTTAATAGTAACACATTTTCCTAGGCATTCTCAATCAAACCTTCCAAAAACACATAACATAAATTGAAAAGCCCAATGACGATGTTTGGATGTAATGTGATCCCATAGATTTAGTTTCACATGTAAAAAACTTGGGATTTTACTTAGTTTTGCATAAAAGGTAAATGATTTAGGGACGGAGGGAGAGATAGTTGAACTCACTCCAGCGGCTACGGCCAAGAGGGTGAAACATGAAATGTTGTAGTCATCAGAGTGCCTTGTCCTCCGGCTCACCTTTGCCTTGTGTGGGAAACAAATTCAAGATCTTCATCCTGTAAAGAATATGGCAGACCCATACATTGGTGAAATGTCTTATTCTCTATCCCAAAATGAAGTTTACAGTTTCCTTTTTTGGGTGTCCCAAATTGAAGTTTACACTTTTTCTTTACACTATGTTGGGAAAATAATTTTTTCTCATTTTCCTCACCAAATTAGGAGGAATTTTGTTTTCCCTCTTAATACATTTCCCCTTCTTATTTTCTTTTCCTTCTACTTTTTCTTTCATTTCCTCTCTAACCAAACAAGAAAAACTTTTGTTCACTTCATTTTCTTTTTTTTCCCTTTCAAATTCTTTGAACCAAACATAGTGTTAAGTAAATCAATTTGTAGCTTTTATATTTCTCTCACTTCTCAAGAAATTTTGGTCACACTTTTCATAATTCCATAAAGTCAAAGTGTAAGCTTCATATTGGGACAAAGGGAGTATATGTATTCTCCTCAAGAATCTCACAAAACGTAGGGTCTCAGGAGGATGTTTGTAAGCAAACCTTACCCTACTATGAAAGAGAGAGGTTGTTTTCAAGAAACCCTCAACTCAGAGACAAAAGTACAAACTCAAACAAAGTACGAACAAAAAGAGAAAAAAACATACAAACCAACTCTAAGAACTAGACAAAGGTCCAAAAGCACACAATACAGACTAAGGCAATAATAAAAATAAACATTGTTCTCTACTTGACTACTTCAGCTGCAAGCAATAATAAAGATAAAGAATTCAAAAGTCACTATTAGTAGTGTGATTACTTACGATGTGTAATGTGCACCGTGAAATATTGGAACCCTTCCAAGACCCAAACCTCTCCAATTTTTTCTCGGAAAGGATACAATCTTGTCGGCTTCTGAGCCAGTTGCAGTCAACACAAACTAAAGGAACAAGCCATTTAGGATAGGATACCAAGGAGCAATATAGAAAGGAAGAAGTTTATGTACCAATGGAAATAGTATGGCCATAACCCCATAGCTAACCAGAGGAGAGACCAAGAATGTCACCAGGACACACGGGCTTCCTGAAAGCATATACATGCCATTATTTACAGTGAGAAAACAAGGCTGGAATGGTTGTGGAAACATTGAATAAGCATGAAGTAATATGAAGTACTCCGTACTGTGTTAGCCTCAAGACCTCATATGCAAATTGGTTTATTCATTTTTTAATTATTGTTTTTAGCTTATCTAAACTAAACCATACTCCGCATTCTTTTTTGCAAAATCACAGAAAAATCGCACCACAACAGCATTTTTTAATAAAAAGATCTACACTGTTAGTCCTTGGGTCTCTTCTGTGAGACACAACTTGGGATTATTAGTTCATAAATTGCAGTGTGGCATTATTTTTGGTTGATCGGGCAAACGTTGAATTATCTTTGTCAAAATTTCCATAATTCTATGTTCCTTCTGCAATTTGCCTAATATACTCCGTAATTAGATGCCAGAAGACAAAAGAAGGAAAAAACTAAAACTATAAATCAAGACAAAGGTATAGAATTATTTATGGAACATGACCAAAACCAGCAAAAAAAGCCCAGTTGGTTTCAAAGAAGTCCAGCCTCTTGTCCAAACTTAGTCCTGATAGATTCCATTTATACCTAGAAAATTAAAAATCACCTTATAGGCATGTCTCTGAAACGCATTCAAAACAAATTTTTTTAAATATAAACTTACTCAAAGGAATAATAGGCGTACATCCATGAGAGAAGCAGAAACTTAAGTGTCTTTCCAATATAGGGGATAAATCCAATAGCACAAACCTGGAAAAAGACAAAACACTAGAAACTCCATTGACATTTTGTAAATGAAAAAGGGGTATGTGAAACACTGTTTTAAAATCTACTTTCACCTCTATGAAGAAGAAAGTCAGCAAGAGGACAGAATAAATTTGTTCGGCAATGCCAATCATAACTCTGAAATAGATAAATGATCTCAGGACAAAATAATTGTCCTTACAATGAAACATCTCCTAAATAAATACTTTGGGATTAAATACAACAATTCGAGTACACAACAAAACATACCCTTCAAAACCAGTTGATTTACTCATACTAGCTGTTTTTTGTGAAGTTTGTGACTCCTTTTGATCAGATACCTTCGTGCCAGCAGTTCCATATTCCTCAAGTACAAAAAATCCATATTTTGCAATGTCGTTGTACCTAGATTTAATAAATCATATTCCGGTGCATGTGATTGTAACTCTTTTTTACCAAAATACAAGTATACAATACCCCAGATGGGAGCATTTAGAGGTTGATGATTATAACTGTCGGGTAGGCCTAGATAAAAGTGGTTCATTGTGTATAGGGTTCAAGATTAGTTTAGATATAGTGAGGTGTTTGCTCAGTTTTATCTTTCTCTTTTTGTTGACCTTTATTTGTTTGACACTTTGGCCTATTGTACTGGTTCTTTCTTTTGTGCTCGAACCGGGGTTCTTTTGGAAACATCCTCTCCAGTCTCTACTTTTCCAAGATAGAGGTATGGCCTGCACCAAAACAACCCCCCCCCCCCCTTGGGATTTTAGTGATGGAACTTGTTGAATTACCACAAAACGGCAATGTTCCTCGTCTTGTTATGACCATAAGTTTGAGCCTTATCGTCTTTTAAGAAGTACTGAAGCTTTTACGTATTCATATTAAGCCTTTGTTTGTCTATATAATAATCCACAACACATCCATGTTTGAAATACAGAGTACATCTTATAATTTGGTTGTTGTTGGTTCCATCTGGTACAATATACGACCATTGGAGTGTATTGTATGAGAATGTCTTTAATACTGCAAAATGAAGGTAGAAACTAAACAATATCATCAAAAAAATGGCAGAGCAACGAATAAAAGAAATTTGGAAATTGATGATGAAATACTAAAAAGAAGTGTACGTACCACATATTGCTAAGGATGTAGCTCAATATGTATAGTGGAAAAAACCAGAAAACCTGCAAGGAAACCCATTTAAGGAATTAGAGTGCACCTAAACATATGTCACAGTCAATCTTTAGTGTTTCTTACCATAGTACAAAATATATAAGTTGATTGTGAAATAACTGCTACATCAAAAAATCGAAAGACTGCACTGATGTCATAAAGTTGTAATCTAAAATATGTCAAATATCTTGTAGAATACGGAAAAATCACACATAATAAAAACTCACATAGAATAGCTGTACAAGTCCAAGACGTAAGAAACTATAGAATTCCAAAATACCCCAACATGAAAATGAACCTTCGGAAATGCTCTCTGGACATTGATCCGGTAATATCCATTGTAGTGCTGGAATAATGACTGATTGCAGGAAAAAGATACTGCACATGAAGAAAAAATCAGAAACACGTGAAGTTAATCTTCCTCAATGATTTCATTCGTTCGATATTACTTCAATTTGAGCTGAAGCAATATCAACTTTATGAGTTCAATTCATTGACTAACATACTACCCGAGTAGTAGTTATTGAGCATGGAAAGACATATAATGGTAATGGAGTATAATACAAAAAGCTCAGTCAGATAATAATCATGAATGTGTCCGTTCTGGATTCAAATTATTTCAGTTTCTCAAAACCAAATTCTACAGCATTGCTAGAGAACTATGACAAACCCTACGAAAAGCACAGAGCAGCTTATTATGTGACCCAAAAGAATAAAAAAATACAGAAATGTTACCTTCCTAAGAAGATAAAGCCATTCAACAGGAAACACTGGCCAGTTCGGACAGCGAGCTGCCTCGACCTTTCAATCAGACACATAATTCAACGAATCAGATAAGAAAAACAGCGAGGTTATACCTACAATCGCCGAGAAAGAGGGATAGAAGAAGAAGAAGAAGAAGAACCTGACGCAGTAGATGAAGACCCGGTGGATACAGCAAGCGTCCCTGAAACCGTCCGCCCAAAGCGCCAAAGCCTGCTCTGGCTTTTTTGTTAGAGTTCTCGCCCAATCTCTCCCGGCGCCGCTCTCCATCGGTGAAGAAGAAGAAGATGATGATTAGGAGGAATCGCTCAATCCGATCGGCGGCCACAGCAAGAACTATTTGATTGACGCGCAGTCCTTTTAACTGGGGAATGTTGGTTGATGGCTATTCAACCTATTTTCTCCCTTTTCCATAAAATTTGTTGTATTAATGCTTATAAGTTAGAAATTAGAATCACACAAATAAAATAACATATTCACAAATTTTGATGACTTTTTTTCTACTCCCTCCGTCCGGAAATGTTCTTCCCGTGTTGACTTGGCACGCTTATTAAGAAATAGTAAAAAATGCAAAATTTTCAAAAATGCACATACTATAAACTTTTAAATCTCTTTTTATTATTAAAAAAGTACTAAAAAAGTAAATTTGTGATAAAATAGAAGGGTATTATTGATATTTAGCCTTAAAAAGTATACTAAAAAAGGAAATGAGAAGAATATTTCCGGATGGATCAAAAAGGAAAATGGGAAGAATATTTCCGGACAGAGGGAGTATTGAAGAAGAAATTTCATTAGTACCAAATCAAATAAATTACAAAAATAGGCGAAGTAAAATCATACGAATCTAGTTGAACGATATCACATATTCACATCTAATCAAAGTACAGTCTACAATGTTTAACTCCCTATGAAAATAATTGAATAATACATTCATAAAACAATTCATCCACTCCAGCTAGTTATTTATAACTTTATTTAACTTTACAAAAAAATGGAAAACACAAGAATATTGAAGAATTAGAGAAAAATAACATTAAGCCGATAAAAAACTTTGACTCCAAAATATGTAATTTATGATAACGCGGTTCTCTCGTCGTGAAAGAAGTAAAAGTATAGCTTTATAGAGCAACGCATTCTAATTCTAGGCACAGATCATTGGTATTGGATGTATCGTTAGGTTGTGCCGAGTCAAATCTGCTCCGTTTTTTTTCCGTTGCAGAAAAGAGATCCCTTCCCCACGCTGGCTGCAGGTACTATGGATCCTCTGACTCCCAATCGGGTTGCCTTCCCAGGTCTCGCCGGTGTTGCCTGTAGNTGAAAGAAGTAAAAGTATAGCTTTATAGAGCAACGCATTCTAATTCTAGGCACAGATCATTGGTATTGGATGTATCGTTAGGTTGTGCCGAGTCAAATCTGCTCCGTTTTTTTTCCGTTGCAGAAAAGAGATCCCTTCCCCACGCTGGCTGCAGGTACTATGGATCCTCTGACTCCCAATCGGGTTGCCTTCCCAGGTCTCGCCGGTGTTGCCTGTAGGTCGTGATGTGCCTCGAGACCGTCTCCTGTCCCCCTGCCGGTGGGGAATCCGCTCCCGGGTCGTCGCTCTGTCCTCTAGGCACCTTTGGAAGGCAGGGATACAACAAAAAAGTGTGTACATTTCTTTATGATACTCTTTCCGTTTCAATTTAAATTGCATGTTTCGATTTAAAGTGCTTGTTTGATAAAAAAGTTTTTCGAAACATATAATCCTGGATCTATATAATTATTGTATATTTTTCTTTGTTTATTAATGTATTAATTTTGTAATTTAGCGCTTTTTGTCACTTACTCCGTATTATCTTTTCTAAACCTATCCCAATTATTTAATATTCCCTCCGTCCCACTGTCTTTGTCCACTTATTTTTTGGCACACCATCCAATGCACTTCTTTAATCCATTTTATCTTGTAATTTGTATATTAAAAAATTATAAAAATTATATATTAATAATCTATATGTTAAGACGAATCAAACAAGATCACACATGACTATTTTTAGACTTACACATTGAGAAAATTTGATGAGTCAAAGTGCTTAGATGAACAGTTTCAAAAGTCAAAAGTGGACAAACACAATCGGAAGGTAAGTAAATAATGAAAGGAATTTCACCAATCGGGTCATACGATTTAGCACCGATCCCCTCCCAATTTCGTCTTCTCTCCGATCTCTTCCCTTCACCAGCACGGCGCTACAATCTTCACTCCATTGATCTCCTTCCCCAAGAAGAATCCCACGAACGATTAATGGCGCAGCCCATTAAGGAGCCGTGCAAGAAGCAGGCTTGCGATATCCAGGCTTGCCTCTCCAAGAACAATTTCCTCTCCCAGAGGTGATCGATCGCTTACCCGATCTTAGTTTAAATCTATTCCCATCTCCGTCTGTTCGATATTCTGAATCGAAAACTCTGTGTTTGAGATCAAGATGCTTGAATTTTTCATTGCTTCTCTGGAAAATAGTAATCACTTGCTCGAGTTTATATTGCTACACTAGATACTGCGGATTTCTTCTTAAACCAACCAAATTAATTGTTCAATCTCGATCGTGTTTTCTGTTGACTCTGTGGGAAATAGCTGTGTTGATAAACTCATGCATGGATGATCATTCATTTGAAGTGTTAGGTTATGGAACCTGACCTAAAATATTATCTTCAACTTGTTCAAGCTTTATTTGGTTGGTTTAAGAATAATCATTGAGAGTTCGTATATACTCACTTTCCTTTGTTGTTCTTCATTGATTTCAATTTCTTCATCTTGAATCGCGAATATGTGTGAGGTCCTAACATGAAGCTCATAATCGGCCGAACTATTATAGAAAACAGCTAGTTTTATGCTTGTAGTCTAGTAGATATCTATATTAATATACTCCTATTTTATTCTATTTTAAAAAGGGATTTGTTTCAACCCCTTACCACCAGTACACCACCACCCAAAAAAGGAGGGTTTTCAGAGAAAGAATGAGCCATAGACTGCATAGCCCATATTCTTCTCCTTGTTTTTCTAAATTGTTTTGTTCTGTGTTGTTTTGTTATTGAATTTTACTTTACCTTTCTAACTGTTTTTGAGCTCCCAATGATATTTCCTTTAGTGATTTCTTTGGACTTTCTGAATGCTTTTTACATAGTGGAAAATGAATGAGGTTGAGAAATCATTTTTGAATACATTTCAAACTCGTTTTAATCAAACATTTGTAGTACTATATACCAACTAAGAATTCTAACACTATATTTGGTTTTTGGAAATGCAAAGGAAACAAAAGAGGGTGTCTCATTTTCCTAGCCAAAATGGAAGGAAAATCATATTCCTTCTTAATGCATTTTCTTCTCCCATTTACCTTTCCTTCTACTTTTCTTTTCTTTTGTTTTCTCTCTCGTTTTCCTTTCAAATTCCTTGATCCAAACATAGTGTAAATGTATATGAAAGAAAAGTTTGTCAAATTTGATCTTCATTAATGAGTGAGTACATTTTTGTAAAACCAAACAACAAACAAACAAACCTAGTTGAGTCCTACAGAAGTAGGGTTTGGGGAGGGTGTGAGTATGGAGAGATCTTTCCCCTACTTGGAAGTATAGAAGCTCTTTGGTAAACCAAACATTAAAACACACACTCACACACATATTTTTCTAATTCCAAGCATAGCATGATATGTATGGTTGTATGTCTTGAATGGGCTTTTTCTTTGAGTTGATCTTTCCACCCTTAAATTTTATTGCTCCTTATTTGCTAACAGGTGTGTAAGAGTTATTGAATCCCTTAGAAACTGCTGCGAACAATGTGAATACAAGTCAACTCATTGTGCTTCATTGTCTGGCCTTTTGAAACAAATACAAAAGAAGTAGATGTGATCCATCCGGTTTTGGGTTCTCTTTTGTAAGATTGAAAAGCTTTCTGTAACTATGCTAGACAAGCTTTCGGTAACTATGCTAGACAAGCTTCCTTGTAAATGTTACATCAGAGCTGCAGATGACAAGGGATGGAGTTTTTTTCTGCAAGCAGCTATTGTATAATATAAGAGTACTCCATTGGCCCCTTCATTGCTGCCATGTTTGACTAGATATGGAGTTTAAGAAAATGATTTTAAATTTTGTTATTATTTGTCTTTTACAAGTTTCGACATTGGAGCCATTTGGGTGGATGTGAATATGGACATGGATGTTGCTCATCGTATTGGGATCGCTTGGGCAAAGTGGAAGTTGTATGCAACAAGAAGATTTTGGCAAAGATGAAAGGAATGTTCTATGCGGTAGTAGTAAGACTGACTGACTGAGTATACTATTATACTTTACGGAGTAAAGGGCTTGGAATCAAGAAAATATGTGTTCAGTAATTACATGCAACAGAAATGCCGGCATCTTCAGTTTGTATTTGTCGACTTTCACTCAAGTGTTTGGGGTTTGCCTCAGATTTTAAAACTTAAAAATTGTTTCTTTTTGAAGATCTCATCTTAGAAGCCATCAATAATGTTTTCACTTTTATATAACATGGGGTTCATGAAATTAACATCACTCGTTTTTACCCGTTTCACCCGCGGCTTGGTGGATGGATCGGATGACAGATGTGGAATTGATTGATGGATGATATTGAAGCTGTATCTGATCCAAACCCAACCTGTTTTCATTGAGCTTGAAATGGTTTGGGCACGTGAACTGGCGAAGTGTGGAAATGCGAGAGGCTTACAACAGCGGGCGAGATGGGGTAGGGGTAGACATAAGAAGAATGAGAAAGAAATGATCAAACATTACCTAAGACTTCTAGCTCTTGTTGAGAATATCACTTTAGATAGAAATGCCTGAAGAATTAGGATTAATGCAGTTGACTAGTTAATGCAGTTGTTAGAAACAATTTGTGTGCTTTTGTCTCTTTACACTCTTCTTTGTCCTTAATTTCCTTTTGCTTCTTCTTTGTTGGTTTTTTGTGCCTTCTTTGCTACTCAAGTTTGGGATCTCTTAGAAACAATCTTTCTACTTTTAAGTTGACGTTAGATTTACATATACACCCTCTTCTTAAACCCTACTTTTTGTGAAATTCTATCGAGTTTGTTGGTCTTCTAAAAATAGAAATTCATAAAATAAAATGAACCAACATAACCAAATAAATGCAATCTATCGCATTCAAGAGCAAATTCAACTTATCTACTCCCTCCGTCCAGGAATGATCTTCTCATTTGACTTTTCATGGTCAAAGTTTGTAAACTTTGACTACGATATGTGGAAAAAATATATTGTATTATGATATAAATTTAATATCAATATATTTATATTGAAACGTAGTTTTGAAATATCAAATTATTATAAAATATATCTATGTACAAATATAAATATTAATGGTCAAAGTGCAACATTGAAGACCGTAAATAGTCAAATGAGAAGAATATTTTCAGACGGAGAGAGCATATTAATATAACAAAAAGATAGACTTAGCGTGGAGAATTATCTTAGAATTTATACGATTAAATGAAAGAGTAATGCTACAGTCTGAAAGTGCGAGATCAATTACATTTAGCAGAGCATACATTAACACAATGACTTTAGGTAAATATTCTAAACTTTGAATTGAGCTTGAACTTTAATTTTTTAATCTATATTTTATTTCTCTACAAATTTCTCTTTTATTTTCATTCATATTTTCTAGTCCCAACAATTTTCAGGTTCAAAACACACCCAAAATTATTTCAAAACCAGAGGTACCATAATATTCCCACCGTCTCAAAAAAAAATTTATCCACTTTTTTTTTAGACGTCCCAAAAAAAACCTCACATTTTCTTTTCTTTTTTTTTTTTACAATGAACATCTCACAAAATTTCTCTCATTGAAACCATACATGTTTCGTTTTTTTTTTAAATTCCTCAATGTGGGTAAAAAAATTGGGATTGGGACAGATGAGTATGACACAGTAACAAATACACATTTTCATTCATGACAAGGTTCAACCTTTCATCTTCTTCATCTGAAGCACAAAAAAAATGTTTTGAATACAACACAACCTGAAGCCTCTCAGTTCATCTCCAACTCTTTCAACAGCATGGACAAAGAATACAATCCTAATTTTCCTCTCTTTTCCAACCTGAATTTGGCAAAACAATAGGCGGGGAGGGTGTGTGTACACAGACATTCTGCCTGCTAGATTCAACCTGATTTGGCACAAAAGAATAATAATGATGAAAATTCGGAGTACCCAAGAGTCAAGGAGGGATATACAAAGGTGATCTTGAGGAGTCTTGATGCATCAAAAGCACGCCTTCTTGACCAAAACCATCTTCCTCATCGGCATGCTTTGGAAGTCGGAATGAGTGTGACAATGAACCTGCTCATATTCCCATGGCAAAACTGAATCAGAAAATGTCGACAAATTTCCCCTTCTTATTGGGCAAGCGCCCATTGGTGAAGGACTAACTTAGGGATTCTGGGGTTACTCGTGTTTGAACCCTCAAGAGAGCATGAAGAGGGGATCTGAAGGGAGTTTTAAAAGGGAGTAGTTTGGGCTATAAAAAATGAAGGGTTTATGTGCGCTATATGATCACCGAGGTTAATGTGCCTTGGATCTAAGGTTATAGCAGGTCATAGTTCAGGTTGTACTTCTAAAAATAGGCCACAATTTTGATCCCAAGAATTTCTATTGACTAAGCTGGTTTATTTTATTGCCTTCAGTCTTTTAGACAATAGGCCACATTCGTTTTTCCACAAGGACTCCCAATTCTTTAGGACAAGCACTGCATTCGAGTGAACTGAATGATTTGTATATTTGTATCCAAGTTTAGAGCACATGGGAAAGATCTTAGAACTTACCATCCACCATGTCTTTGGTCTTGTGGAGAAGAAATGTTCCAGAAAGTATTGTGACAAACCCACACATTTCTGTCAAAATTTGAGGAGCATTCTGTCTATCCCACTCCTATTCACAAGGGAAAAGAAAAATATATCTATTAACATACTGAGGATGGGTTCTGCATTGGATCCTAGATAATGTATTGTTTGAGTTTTTAAGTTCTGCTTGGTTCCTAGCTTATTTGGATTATCAATCAAATACTCAATTTTTTAACCAATGAGTCAAAAAATCGAGCTCAATATGATGGCATTAGATGAATTAGATTATAAAATGATGATGATGATAAAAATATTAATAGTAATAATAATAATAACAACAACAACAACAACAATAATAATAATAACAACAATAATAATAATAAAGTTTAGACTTTTTAACATAAAAAAGTTTCTAAAAATAGAAATGGGAACATTATTTTTGGACGGACGAAAAAGGAAAGTGAGAACTTTATTGTTGGACGGAGGGAGTATATTTCTTCTATACTGCAATGAGTGATCTACATTAGTACGTGACCAATGTTAGGTAGCAATCTAAATGCACCGAAGCCATTTTTTCGGATCTCATTTGATGGGGTAAAAATTTGCTGAATTTTTGAAATTCATTGGTTGAAAGTGGAATTCGTTGAAATGGCTGAATTGTCTAGATGTATTAAAATATTAATCTGTACATATTAATTACTTGAATACAATACTAGCCAAAAAAGTAGGCAAGAAGTGTGAGACAGTCACTTCGTTTCAGCTAAAAATGTACTCCCCAATCCGGATTTTGTTGTTCACTTTTCCACTTAGGCCATGTTCTTTTGGCTTTGAAAAATAAATTTCCAACTATTCCAACGCTTTTCAGTTTCTTCCAACTTCTTCCAGTTTCTTCCAATGACTTTAAAATGGTATTTAAATATGACGAATATACAATAACATTATGTTTCTAAATTTATAATATCACCTCAAACACAGAAAAGGATGAATTCTTTTTATCCAAAATTAGAATTTTATTACATATTTATTTGGATGATCATTTAATTGAATGACTTTTTAACACTTGAATTCATCCAACATTTTCCAACTCCTACTTTCTTCCAATATCTAACTCTGAAATTTCAACCAAAAGAGCATGGCCTTATTGTATTTAGTAAGAATATGTGAATGATAAAAAATACCCCTTAAAGCGCATATTAGCATTGTTTCCATCAAAGAATGACAGGCAACTAGGCTAGTATCATGGATCTTTTTATATTTTTTTACCCCAGTTTGTTAAATTTGGGGTATTCTAGAAAGTGGATAACAATATCTAGATGGAGGGAGTGTCTTCTACCCTACTTTATTATTATGAAGTATAATAATTTTTGTACATATTAACATAAAAAAGTTTCTAAAAATAGAAACTTATTTTAGATGGAGGGAGTGTCTTATTTTTAGAAACTTTCTAAAAGTTTCTAAAAGTTTCTAACTTTTAGATAATGATAAAAAGTCTAAACTTTTTTAAATAATGTTCTCACTTTTAGAAAGTTTCTAAAAGTAGTGTCTTCTACCCTACATTTTTAGATGGAGGGAGTGTCTTATTTTTAGAAACTTTTTTATGTTAAAAAGTCTAAATATACTTCCTTTGTCCAACAATAAAGTTCTTCTTCTTCTTCTTCTTCTTCTTCTTCCTTCTTCTTCTTCTTCTTCTTCTTCTTCTAATTGCTGATCTAATTGTTTGTTGCCGATATGAATAATTGTGTGAGTATAAATAATTATCCATACTTCTGTGATGGATCGAGTTGTGACCGTGGACAGAGACGATTACTTGTAAACCAGTTTAGAAATTATAGATGATACTCCTTCAAATTTTGATTTTGGTGATTGAATTGGTGTGGTGGTTGAATTGATGTAGATGTTGCCGTGGAAGTTGCTGTGGTAGAAGGCAGAGATTGTGACGTGGATAAACAAACAATGAATAGAGTATAGAAAGTGTGGGGGTAATATGGGAAAGTCAATACAATTTTCTTCTTGCATAAATTCCCGTGCCAAGTCAAAGCGGGAACTTTAATCTTGGACGGAGGGAGTATGTAAGAGCGATTGCCTTTTTCGTTAAGTGTTTGCCTATTCCAATGTGGTCTACTGCCATCCATGATAGACTAAAAAACGTTTATAGTGAAGTGTTTGATTCTTCACACTAACGACCTTCATGTAATATATCAACCAAAAAAATCAAGCATCCCAGAGTGTGGAAACAGTACATACCTTGAACATGATCACACTTGCTAAGATGGTTAAAGATGTAAACATAACATAATATATCGGTGACACAACGGCGGTATTGAATGTGTCAAGGGCCTGCATTCAAATGTACGGCAACAGGTTTAACTTTTGCAAGAAGGCTTTGCCACTTTTTTGAAAATATTTAGCACGAAAATGATAGGAAAATCTAAAAAGAAAAGAAATTATACCATATTTAAGTAATTCATTTGAGTAAGCACGCAAACCAGAAGAACCAAAGTGAATGCCCAAGTCTGTGGATA